TCATCATCAGTGTACAGAGATTCCATATAGGCAATCTTATTTAAACGAAATGAAGTTTGTAATACGTCAATCTATACGTAATTCAACCGTATCAAGTTGTAAACACCAAGATCATGAATAAAAACAATGTATAATTAATGGTAAACGGAATGAAGTAAAATCAGAATGACAAAGTTAAATTATCATGGTAAAGTTGTTTGTTGAGTGAGGGCTAGGCCTAATTTGAAAAATTATATTGAAATACTATACTATATATACGCATTTCTCAATACATTTGGAAACAAATGATAAATTGGATATAGGACGGTAACTAGCAATGATTTCTATATCAATGTTGTGTTTTTTAATTAAGGGTTTCACCAAGGCCGTTTTGTAACAGTCAGGAAAAATTCCATTGGATAAAGACGAGTTAATAATTTTTATGATACATGGTGAAACTATATCTGAACATTTCTTTAAAGATTTGTCGGAATAGGATCAAGTGAACATGAAGCATTTGAAGATGAATTAATTAAATCTAAAGTATCTTTAAGGGTAATCTGTTTAAAAGAATTAAATTGTACAGAACATTTAACGTCATATGAGAGTGCTAAATCAATATCTAAAGGCGGAAATTTTGAACAAATACTTTCAATTTTTGACATGAAATATTTTGAAAATATGTTTGCAAGGTCTAAGTTATCGGAGCAGGTAGGTATTGCGGCCTTTTTATTATTGATAAGATACCTTACAGTATTAAAGAATTTCTTGCAATCCCCAGAGCATGAATAGATTTTAGATTTAATACAATCTGTTTTAGAGTTTTCTCAAGTATTAGCAAATACTTGCAACTGGCGTTCATACTCATCGCGATCAGCAGCAGATCTAGTCACTCGCCAACGGCGTTCAAGCTTTCTAAGTGTTCTTTTCTCCTGACGGACGGTTTTGTTGTACAAATTTCGGTGTTTTTTGTCTCGAACTTTAACTTCCTTTAAAGGTGCATGTGTCTCAAAAACCTCAAAAATAGAATCGTTAAAAAAGTTAGCTGAGACATTAACATCCGACAAATCATAATTGTGCAGAGCATGAGCCAGTTCATCCTTAAATTGTGAAATGTTGATAGATTTTACGTCCCTGATAAATTTTGCTTTTGTTGATGTTTTCTCAATGGGAACATCAACATTGAAAAACACAAAAGCATGATCGCTCATGATATTATCGACAATTTCAACCTTCGAAATAATTTGATTTCGGGTGATAATAAGGTCCAATGTATGACCAAAATCATGAGTGGATCCAGAAACATGTTGAATCAGTTCACGATCAGAAAGAATGTCATTCAATTTTCTAACATAAAAGGCATCAGTATCATCCATATGTAGATTACAATCTCCCAAAATAACATAATTATCAGGCCTCGTCATCCACTAACACCAACCACTATGGCCTGGTTGGAGTCTCCTTTTGTTATGTATTTTTTTTACATCAGTTCTCATTGAGAAAAAGCCCATGTTCTGTTTTAGAAAACAGTCAATTTTGTTTATTATTATCGATATTATTATATTGTTTTTGTTATTGCTATTATTATTTATATTATATTCGTTGATGTTTTTTGTTGCTGGTGTTGGTATTAATATGTTTTGTTTATGATATTTTTATTGTTAATATTTATTTTCAATTTTTTCAACAAACATGTCTGGTTTCATAATATGTTGTATTTATAACATGTAAGTAGTAAATAAGGATTTTAGATTCTGGTAAGAAATCCTTTATCTGAAGCATTTCCTAAATTTATTTTATAATTCATGAGTATGATGGTGTGATAACATCAATAATGAAACGATCATAAAGCTCTTATAATTATGTTTTGTTGAAGGAATTTTGGAAATAATCTGTTGACTACTCTAAGGCCTGGTTTTTTTAGTGGAACTTCAGTAGTTAACGACATGTAAGTAATATTTTTTAAGCAACTTTAGAATTTATTATAAAGAGGATGACCGACTTCGAAATTTTTCTACCGTATATTGTTTTATTATCTATTGCCACTGCTATTAGCTTCCCCAATCAGCATATTCTTATGATAAACCTTATGTTGGCAGATTCTAGTCAGAGAACCATATACATAGTCATATACAAAATAGATAAATATTAGTGAAAATACTTGAATAGCAATGTAAGATGTTATAATCGTATAAACAATAGCTCTTCAACGAAAAGTTTCTTTATCACCATGTTATATGCATAATATCAAAAGTACTCAAATCAATTAAGCATTTCTCATAATCATAAAGATTGTTTAATGTTTTCAAACTTGACCCATTTTACGTATAAATACAAAGTAATGGGCCTATCAACCACATTTGGAGCCATTTTATGCCTAAAATCAATTTTTGGAAAAATAAAACGTTGGGCCCAATTTAGATTTGGAAAGAATATATTCGATGTGAAATCCACAAATGATAACTTTGAAAACTTACTCCTGTGAGGTCTTTCAAGTGCTTAATTGAGCAGTACACTGGGAGACAATCCCCTACTCTATTCTAAAGAGTGTACCGGTACTGCGTTCTTTAACTATCACATGGGTCACATTGAACATAGGGCCTACTTTAAACGTCTCATCCGGGCGGTACGATATTGAAAATTTCAACCCTCCATCTAATACATAGGAAGAGAAATGGACACAACTGAAATGAATGTTTGTACTCATTATACACACAAATAAAACTCATGCACTTATACACACTAACAAGGATAATAAGGTAGATTTTTTTTTATTTAATGTTTCAGATATCTAAGTGTTAATTTTATACCATACCTTCCAGACTACCTTTTTCGAAATTCAAATTCTAAAGATGACTTTGGAATAAAACTTGGATCAGTGTAAGTCTCATAACGAACTGCACTATATAGATACTGTATTTATATTGCTAGGTCTATCACGGTAGCTTTTATATTATTATTCATAAGGACGTAATACTCAATATTACGCTTTATTATATTTTATTAGTTTTCAATGAATTAATCAATAATATCAACCTTTCAATCAGTTAGGCATGACAGACTGCTTGCGTGACGCTATTTATGAAAATTGTTCACGCTTTACTTACAGTCATTTTCAAAATATGACACTAGAGGATATTGGCGATAACGCGTTCTTTGGAGTTGAAAGCTGCCTCATACTGTAAGTACACAAAGTACAAAATACGCTGAACTATACCTGTGGACCTATGGAGTGTATATCAATAACAACTGACCAATCAGTCATTTGTTTTATTCATTCCAGATGCTAGGTCCAACCTTATTTCTCCTTCCTCAAGCTAATAGGGCGTTTTACCTTAAACTATATAAGTGAATTTAAATGGTTATAAAGAAATTCAACAAAGAATAAAATGCAATTAAAACTACAGTATAAATTTCGAACTAAAAGAGGCCTACACCTTTCATCTTCTAAACCAAATTTGTATATGAAAAAACCCCATCAAATCTCATTGTGATTTAACAGATTTATAAATTGTATGATGATAGAGAACTCCCGGTAAGGCCAAATAAAATAAATTTGTTTGTTTGCCCTTCTTTTAAAAAAAATGATAAATAGGGGAGGGTGGAAAAAGTTTTTATATTTATTAATTTTTTTAAATACTCATCAGATGGAATAAAAATAACCCACAGAGGCCTAGAATGGCAATATCTTACATCAGACAACAACTTTAGACTAATTTGTAGGGCATCTAGCAAAAAATAAAGATAAATTCACTCACACTTTTTTTAATTTGTTAAGAAAAAAGCTAAACAAAAAAATTTAAGTTTTTTGTTTTTCCGCCCCTATTTTTTCCAGTGAGTTAGGGGCAAGTGGGAGGAGGGCATACAAACAAATTTTTTTGGCCTAATATGAAGGCAAAAGACTTTCTCCAGTTATATTAATGGGGAGGAGTAACGTTTGGATTATCAGGGAAGGATGAGGGAGAAGAAGGGAGTAAAAAATGTTTGAGCTGGTTTTAGTTGTTCTTTTAATTTTATGTATCTTGTAATTATTTGTCTTTAAGTTTTGTGTTCTTGACGCACCATTTTTTCGAAGTGTAAAGAATTATGATACTGTTATTTTTTCGAAGTGTAAAGAATTATGATACTGTTATTACAAAGTTGAACCATGGATCATCAGTATCTATTCTACTAGTTACCTTCCAGTTGTAACACTGGGTCGTCTTAATGTCTTTACATCTTATATATATCTACCAATCATACCTAAGTCACAAATAGACATCTTCATTTAAAAGACATTAAGTTAATGATTCTACTTTCTATTTTCAGGCAGTTGTCTATGAATCGACTGAAATCCATCCCAAAGGCTGTAACGAACCTTAATGTGTACAATTACATGTAAGATTATTATGTTTATAATAAATCATAATAATAACTTTTAAATAAGATTTTCTATAAACAAAACCACACTCTAGTTCTTTTTATTGGTGAAGTATTTCTTTATTTATGTTACCTCACTGGTTGTGCTTAAATAGTTTAAATCTATAAACATATTTAAAAAAATACATGTAAGTATTTTTTCCTTGCTTGGAATTTACTGCAGATATTATTCTCCTGAAGACGGCAGAAGCAACTCAATCGAAGCGTCGAGACATTCTCAACCAACAACAGTTCTCTTCATAACTACCTACGTGGTGTACCACAAGCATTAATATATATGTGTATATATATATATATATATATATATATATATATATATATATATATACAATATATATATATATATATTAATATAT